GATGGACCTAGAGAGAATTATATTAAGTGAAACGGGTCAGGCACAGAAAGAGAAATACCACATGTTCTCACTTATTGGTGAGAGCTAAAAATAAATAAATAAATTCAGACACACACACACACACACACACACACACACACACACAAACAAACCGGGGGTGGGGGAGAAGATATAACAACTACAATTCCTTGAAGTTGATACAACAAGCAAACAGAAAGGACATTGTTGGGTGGGAGGGAGGAGAGGGAGGAGCGAGAGAGGTTTCGGTAATGGGCCACAATAATCAACCACATTGTATATCGACAAAATAAAAATTAAAAAAATTAAAAAAAAATACACAGGCCTAAAAAACAATGTGGAAAACACTTTGGTTTGATATAAATATTTACGAACATTTACTGTTTACTGGCTTTATAGAGCTTAACTCAGTATAGAAGGGGCACTGATTCTAGGACCTCCTACAGATACCAAAACCCACAGATGCTCATGTACCTGATATAAAATGGTCTAGAATTTGCATATAATCTATGTGTATCCTCCTGTATACTTTAAATCATCTCTAGATTACTTATAATAACTAATATAATAAAAATGTTATCTAAATAGTTGTTACATTGTATTATTTAGGGAATAATGACAAGAAAAAGTCTATACATGTGTAGTACAGACACGATTTTTTTTAAAATATTTTCAATCCATGGTTGGTTGAATACTCAGATATGGAACCAACGAATATGGATGGCCGAATATTAAAATGTTTAAGGTATGTGATTTACAAATTTTAAACACCTGGATCACTAACAAATAGGGCTTTTTTTTTTCATAGTATGCCCCTTGTGATGTTAACTACCAATGGTCAGAACATACTGTGAATTATTCTGTAGAAGAAAGACATCAGAGAAGAGCAAACAGAGGTACAACAAGCTAAGGTATCTGAATTTGTACAAGGCAAACAAATGTCGCAATCCTGGAAAAGCTAATTAAACTATTGTGATAGCTACAAGAGAGCTCAAAGCCAACTGATGCCCCATATCTGTGTATTTTAGGGCCAGCTTCAGTCAAACCAACCACTTATCTGAAGGCTGCAGGCTAAATGTGTACAACGTGAGTAAATATGACCAGAAACTCATCTCTGCTTTTCTGGATACCTGTGATCCTAGCCATTGCTGAACAGACTCACACCTTTGTTTCTCTCCAGTTTCCACTCTGATTACCTCACATTAGTGGAGAGTTCCTAAAGAACGAACCCTCTTCTTTTACAAGACTCTGTAACTTCTGTTTATACCCAAACAAGGACAGTGGTATGCCTCCCCTCCAGCATCCCTGTGTTTACAAGCCTGCCCCTGGTAGTAACAGTCACAGAACTTTGAGAGGGTCTCTAAGGACTTAAAGCTCCCCTGAAGCAAAGATCCTGTCCCTCAGTATCTAAGGAACAAGATGAGTCCTTCTCCCAGAGCCAACTGCTCAAGAAAAAGGAAGTCTTAGACTCCAGGCAATCTAGCAGCCAAGTAAGCTGCCTGCCTAAAACAACCAGCAGCATGACCAGTTTATCTATGCAAAATATGGATGCCTCTTTTAAGAAAGGATTTACAAAGCAAGGAAAAAATATCTATCATATCTATCATAGAATCCTCTAGCACATTTATACAAATAGCCAATACATTTTTAAAACATATCAAATATTCTTAAGGCCATCAGATACAAGTTTCAATTTCAGTTATGCAGCAGATCTCAACATAGACATAATTATTTTTATCTTCTGGATTCTTCTACTCAGGGAACAAAACACCTTCAATCAAACATCTGATTGTTTTTCCCCTTACTCCTTACTTCTTACTACTTACTGGTTTTGAGAACAATAAACATTAGTTTCACATAGCCATATCAGGACATTATAGTATAATCCTCTGACACATTTTACAGGAAAGGCTTTCTAGAAAACGGTTTGGATATAATTCAGCAATTATGATCTCTCACCAAGTGCATTATCACAACAGCCTATCCTTATGAAATTCTAACTTTTTCCTCCATACCAGGTAAACATTCTAAATGTGATCAAACAATCAATTTGCAATGAGAATTAGGTACTTCACCTTAAATATTATGTTCAGCAATGTAGCTAAGAAGAAAAAGTCTGGTTCACTTACTGAATTAGCGATGGCATGAATGACTCTAGCAAATCCCACTGCATCATTCAGTTCCTCCTAATTAAAAAAAAAACCATATATATATTATTGACATACATATATTCCTTATTTAAATGGACTGAAAACCTAGCCAAAAAAAAAAAAAAAAAAAAAAAAAAAAAAAAAACCCACTGATATTTCATATCAAGTTAGGTAGCTTTAGTTTCACATGCTTTGCACCTATCACCCCAAACAACTGCATCTGAAATGATCTAAGTACATACCTTTCTTCTGTTTTAGAACTCAGAATAGGCAAGTGGCAAATTATTCATTAGTTGCTGAAATAACAGTTCCTAGAGTTCATCCATCATTTTACATAATCTGTCAAAATTTCTATCAAGGTGTCTTAAAAACACAAACTTTTAGGGCCGGCCCTTGGCTCACTCGGGAGAGTGTGGTGCTGATAAAACCAAGGCCATGGGTTCGGATCCTATATAGGGATGGCCAGTTAGCTCACTGGCTGAGCGTGGTGCTTACAACACCAAGCCAAGGGTTAAGATCCCCTTACCGGTCATCTTTAAAAAACAAAAAACAAAAAAACCCCCACAAACTTTAATAAGTCGCCACCTGCTGGCTAAATTTAATAATGCTTTAAATTATGAGGAAACCCACCTAGCAGCTGACTGATTCAAAAGTCCTGATTTTCTTCCTTGACAAACGCATTTTTACAAAATTCTTAAAGCATAGCTCTCTGAGATTCATCCCCACCCACTTTCTTCTCTCTTATTTTCTTCCCCATGTTGTTTAAATAGGCTCAACATCTCTTCTACCTTGTAAACCCTTCCCTAATGAACTTTATGCCCCATCTAACTACTGCCCCATCTCCTTATCTCATCACAGCTAACTTGCTTGAAAGACTTCTCCACGCATTAGTTCAGTTTAACTCCCAGGTGCCTGAAGCTCTCTGCTCTCTGGCTTCATCCTCAATGAAATTGCTCATCTCCTTAAAACTATTCCCAAGACTAACAAGTGTTTGCCAGGATGCAGAGAAATGGAATCCCTTGTGCACTGTTGGTGGGAATGTAAAATGGTGCAGCCACAATGGAAAACAGTATGAAGGTTGCTCAAAAAAAAATTACCATGTCACCAGCAATTCATTTCTGGGTATTTACCCACAAGAATTAAAAGCAGGGACTCAGATATGTGCACGCCCATGTTCATACCAGCATTATTCACAATAGCCAAAAGGTGGATCAATGGATGAATGGATAAACAAAATGTGGTATAATACAACGGAATATTATTCGGCCTTAAAAAAACGAAGGAAATTCTGACACATGATGCAACATGAATGAACCTTGAGGACATTATGCTGAGAGAAATAAGCCAATCACAAAAGGACAAATACCATATGATTCCATGAGGCACTTTGAGTGATAAGTACCTGTCAAATTCATAAGACAGAAAGTAGAATGGTGGTTGCCAAGGGCTTGGGAGAGGGGAAATGTGTTGTGTAGTGGGTACAGAGTTTCAGTTTTGTAAGATGAAAATAATTCTGGAGAATAATGTTGGTAAAGGTTGCACAACAATGTGAATGTACTTCATACTACTGAACTGCACACTTAAAAATAGATAAATCGGTAAATTTTATATGTGTATTTTACCACAGTTAAATATAAAAGTTTTTAAGTAAATTTAAAAAAAAAAAACAAACCTACTCCCAAGGCTAAACCCAGTGCCAAGGGTAAATCCTTACCCTTACCTGTGTCTCCCCACCAATATTTCTCCAGCCCACCCCATCTAAGTGAACTGACTACAGTCTACCCAGTTGTTCTGATGGTTGGCTTGAGCATTTTCCTTCTCCCTTCCTCTTCCACCACCCACATCCAATCACAAGTTCAATGGATACTACCTTCCAAATATCTCCAGATTCTACCTACACTGCTACTAACTACCCTATTACTCCAGGTAGCCAACATCTCTTAGCTAGGTTACTCCACATATTAACTGGTTTCCCTGCCTCCAGATTTACTCGAATCTATTCTTCATACAGTAACCAGGGTGATGTTCCAAAAACGCAAATACAACCACATGAACCTAATCTCTCAGATCCCATGTTCTGAATTTTGTTCTAGGAGAACTAGTAAGTGCACATGAGGTTAGGCATAGCACTATTAGCTAATGGGCAGTGAAGCTCAGTGACACACAACCTGAATGATAACCAAGAAAACTTTCTTCAAAACTGCTTCATTTAAGTGGACACTGGTCAACCACGTTAGACTCATTTTGTGGCCACAAATAATGCTTACCTAATTTCTCCTTATTCTATTCTAGGTTTTTCTACCAATTCAATTCTTCTATGGTAGAAAACTACTCATTAAACTGAATCCAACATATGATCTAGAAATACACAGAAAGGAATAAATCAGTACTATGTTGCCATTTCTCACCCAAAGGAAACTAACATGGCCCAATTACCTGTTCTTTAGCATGTTTCTGCTCTTCCCTTCTTTTGCGCTCTTCTTCATCTACTTTGCTGATAACAATATATCGCTCCTTCTAAAAGACATAAAGCAGAGATACAATTTTCTGGAAGCAACTTGACCCAAAAACTTCAGAATTCTACTACCATTAGAAGTTACCATTTTTATCACTGCACAGTCTTTCATGGCCCAAATACAACAGAAAGTATTTTGAAATGCCACCAAAAGTTGAGCTGAGTTGCATTATAAACCAAAATTTTGCCTCTGCATTTTCATGACATTTTCCCAGGGTTTATTAATTCAACCCAACAGACGTCAGTTAAAAGTATCAAAAGACTATGAGAATAAGACATTTTCTATGAAGTTATGTTGCATTTGAATATGAATTTCTAAATAATTAGTTTTAAAGTAAAATTTCTATATCATATTTTATGAATATAATAAAAAAATCCTAGATTATGTGGTAATGTGCCAAACAACTCTTGCTTTCTTTCTCATGCTTTGCATTTTGTATCCATTAAACACACCACAAAACCTTCTATGTCAAAGTTTGAGACTTATCTTCCAGCAAGATTGCTTTTATTTAATTTCTAATTTGATATATGACTTAAGAGCAACAACCACTAAAATTCTAAAATTCTGCTAAAGGAACCCACCACTAGCCACCTATTACCTGTCACAGTTCTATCAGTGCACCTTGGGAAAACATGACAACAGCTATGCTTATGTTTATGACCCAGATTCTAAAACTTAATTTTACCTGCCCACATAACATGAAGCCATTTTTTTCACATACGCTCACAACTTTCTGCCATAGTATAAGAACATGAACTAACATTTGTATACTTTCAAGCTTACAAAGCATGTTCACTTCCATTTACCTATTGGATCACCCTAAGAAAGATAAGTATAAATCATCATTATCATGCTCAGCCTCAATACACAAATGAGGAAAATGAGGGTTAGAGAGCTTAAATGACTTGCCTAAGGTCACCCAGCTCATACATAGCAAAGCCTAGGTGTAAATTCTGACTTTTAACACATTAGTGTATCACTGGATGTGTTTAATGTTAGCCATAGATAATTCTTGGGGTTACCTTTTCAGTTTCTAAAGTCTCAACATGAATGCCTTTGGGATACCTAACGAAAACTTATCAAGCACTAGTTGAGAAAGACTTAATTTTAGGAAGAGACTTCATTAGAACTAACAGGTAAAATGCAAACAAAAAAAGGCAGGATGTCTGACATGAGAGGATTCCTCATCACTTCATCAAAATTTTCTTTAATGTTATTATATTGCTTTTATAGAAGAGGTAGAAGTTCTTATCTAATTATTACTTCCTGCACTGCTGTACGGCCAAAAAATCAACTATTTAGCTATAAACTACACAAAATGAGTTTTATTAAATATGAAATAATTATCACTACAATGAAGACTTTACATTAAGCCTATTCATAACATTTCAGCTCCTAAATGTTTCCCTTCCCCTTAACACACAGAAATGTATTTGATTTCAAATTAATTTTTTTAGGACTTAAGCATTTTCTAAAATGTCTTGCATCTCACAATACAGTCAACTCATTACCACACAATCAAATTTTTGCTTCCAAATATAAGCATTTCCTAACTGAAATTTTGAAGGTCTCTTTTGACTACATGGGGCACACAGGGGAAGTTTCAGATGTGCTGCTCTGCTGTAGTCTGGCATGGTAGTTTGCATCAGCTGAGGAGAAGGATCTGGAATGCGCACAGAGTAAGTTACAAGGATAAAGTGATAGGAAAAAAGCCTGGGCAAACCAGACAATGGTCTTTTCCTAGTATACGTGTCACTGGCAGATTTTAACAGAGGAACAAGGACCCCAAAGTCAAATGCAAACATCTATCTGTCTAATGCCAATGTTTAATTTTTTTTGAGGGTAAACAAAGAAAGTTCATTTGAGAACTTGGTATACAACTCCAGAATTGGGCAGCACTCTAGACCAAATGGTTCAGAATGCTCCCTCAATGTTCAATTTTTGAGTTAGAGAACCATTTGCAAATAAAATGAAAACATGGGAAACATCCCCAGAAAAACACATGCACAAAATTTTGAATGTTATTTCAGGGGATTCACAGACCTCCTGAAACCCATCCACAGTTTAACCCTATGTTAAGAACCCCTGTTTTAGAAAAAGTATTCATCTGAGTATTTCTTAGGTCTTAAAACCAAACCTTTACCATATACCTTCAAAGGACAAAAACACTACATATCCAGAGCTTAATGGATGAAGCCAAAGTGATAATTAAAAGAAATTTTAAAAGGCTTTAAGACATCCTTTAGAAGCAATAACAAAGGAAATAAATTAAGTGGGTATTCAGCCTAAGAAAGTGGGGGACCTTGGTATGGTCAAATCACCAAGAACTGCAGAATTTCTTTTTTCGGGGGGGGAAACAGCCTTTTAATTCAAAGACTTAAAGAAAAATGCCTTATTCTGGCACATTCTTTGGGGGGGGGGGGGTATTATGTTTTCATTAATGTATAGTGACAATTTCTCAAGGATTTGTTAGTACAAGTGATTTAATTTTTTATTTTTCTTGTAAAGCAGTTATACTGACTACTAAACTAAGCAAGACCAGACACTCCTCCAATGCCACATCTGCTTGTTGGAAACTTCACTGCAAGAGAAAAAAACATGAACAAGCTGCAGTCTGGATGGGCCTGATCCACTTCTCTACTTTAAGGGAAGCTAGATAGTGGCTGTCAGGACCTTGGTCCATGCAGGTCTGCCCACCTGCTGAGGTCTCTTGTCTCCTGACATGTAGCAAGTCCAAGTACAATACAGAGGACACTTATATACAATTTGCTGTTATTTCACAAATTCAAATATGCCTAAATTAAATCCTGCCACTCACAACATCACAGCTGTGTGTATATTGCATATATGTAGCACAGGTTTGAGATACAGATGTCAGTCTGGCCCCAATACACATTACTTAATGTACATTTGGTTTCAGTTCAGGAACTTACACCACTTGGTCAATAAACTTCTTCTGATCCTCAGGAATCACCACAGGACATTTGGAAGTGTTAGGAGACACATATGCTAGAGCTCCTGCACCATTGGCCTGTGAACGTTTTTCGTCATACTGCTCTCTTAACTGTCTTTCTTCTTCCTGATTCAAATATGGAATTCCTAAACATAATTTTTTAAAAAATGTATTAGTACAAGTTCAACATAAAATTCTTTTAACAAACCAAAGAGTCTAAAATACTCAGGAAAGATTTACTATATTTAGTGATGTCTCAAAAAATCAACACAAAAAGGCAAATGATTTCAAATTGTGTTTGTTCATTCACTCATCCATTCCTTCCTTCTTCTTTCACCAAATATTTATTTGGCATTTAAGCTGTGCCAAGCATTGTATCAGGCACTGGGGAACTAACAGTGAACAAGCAGATACATCTTGGTCTTTAGTGCATAAAACTACTTCCGACAGAAAAGATGATCAGAAAAGGCTTCTGTGAGGATCAACCCAAAGGACGAGAATGAATCAAAAATGCAGAGAGCCTGGAGAAGAATATTTCAGGCAAGAGAAACAAGTATAAATACCCACAGGATGAAAATGACTTGGACTATTCCAAGTATAGCAAGGAAACTGGTCTGGCCAGAACATGTGAGCCAAAGGAGAATGGTCTGATATCAGATTGGAGAGAGGATTCAGCAAGACTTTGCAGGCTCTTACATGTCATGGTAAGAAAGTTACTTTACTCTAAGAGTGATGGGACACCCTTAGAAGGTTTTAAGCAAGATAATTACATTTTCTGCTTCATTTTTAAAAGGTCATGGTGACTACTGTGAGAATGGAAGGAGGGAGATCAGTTATGAACAACTATCCAGGCAAGAGATGACAGCTCAGATCAGAGGTCAGTGAACTTTTTCTTAAAGGGCCAGATAGTAAATATTTTAAGCTGTGGGTCATACTGGGGTCTTTGTTGCAATACTCAACCCTGGCATTGTAGTATAAAAGCAGACATGTATAGGCACAGCTGTGTTCCAGTAAAATTCTACTTACAAAATAGGCAGCTAGCAGTGGGCTACCATTTGTGACCCTGGTTTAGACTATGGAGATGGCAGGGTAGATGGAGAAAGTGATTTTCAAGATAAGAGAGAGAGAACTTACTGATATATTGGAGGTGAAAGATAAAGGGAAAAGCAAAATCAAGAATGACACCTACCGGGGCCAGCCCGGTGGCGCACTGGATAAGTGCGCCACTTGGGAAGCGCGGCGGCGCTCCCGCCCGAGGGTTCGGATCCCACATACAGACCGGTTCCCGCTCACTGGCTGAGCGAGGCGCGGGAGCGACACCGAGGGTTGCAATCCCGTTGCCGGTCCCCGGTCCGGTAGGGGGGCAACACTGAGGGTTGCGATCCGTTGCCAGACACGGAAAAAGACAAAAGACGAAAAAAAAAAAAAAAAAAAAAAAAAAAAAACCCCCCCC